GTACATTATATGTATGTGTGCGTGTATGTGTGTGTGTGCATGTACATTATATATGTGTGTGCGTGTGTATGTGTGTGTGTGTGTGTGTATGTATATGTATATGTGTGTGTATATGTATATGTATATATATATATGTGTGTGTGTGTATGTATGTATTTGTATATGTGTGTGTATGTTTGTGTATATGTATATGTATATGTGTGTGTGTGTGTGTGTGTGTGTATGTATATGTATATGTGTGTGTGTGCGTGTGTGTGTGTGTGTGCGTGTGTGTGTGTATGTGTGTGTATGTGTGTGTGTGTGTATGTGTGTGTGTATGTGTGTGTGTGTGTGTGTGTGCATTTATATATATATATATATATATATATATATATATATATATATATATATATATATAGAGAGAGAGAGAGAGAGAGAGAGAGAGAGAGAGAGAGAGAGAGAGAGAGAGAGAGAGAGAGAGAGCCGCACAGTCTCCTTTCTTTTCCATTATCCCATGCTTTCTTCCTTTTTTTTTCTTCCTTAAAGCCAGCTACTCCAGCCACCGTCAGATTCCCAGTTACTCTTTCTCTTATTGACGTTTATTTAACCTTCTTCTTCTCTCATTTCATCTCCAATAATTACATTGACGTATTTTCTCTCTCTCTCTCTCTCTCTCTCTCTCTCTCTCTCTCTCTCTCTCTCTCTCTCTCTCTCTCTCTCTCTCTCTCTCTCTCTCTCTCTCTCTATTTATAGTTATCTAACCTGTATGTCTATCGACCTATCTATCTTTTCATTTGTCTACTTACATTACTCTCTGTCTACTCTTCCACCTGTCCCTTTTTTATGAATAGGAATTAAAAAAAAAAAAAAAAAATCAGTTGCTCGTAATTAGAAAATGAGAGAAAGCCGAGCACGCCATCTGTTGACGCGTTGAGACACTAAACAACGGGCCTGTGGGTCACGAGGTGAACTAGAATGAACTACAGACAGACACACAGGCGCAGAGGAATATTATCCAGAAGAGAATAGGTTTGCGAGGAAGTAGGGCGCAGTTAAATGCGTTATATTTGGAGATTCAGTGACGTCCTCCACACCAATATACACACCCTCCTCCACACATTCACATGTATGTGTGAATAAATAAATAAATAAATGAATAAATAAATATATATATATATATATATATATATATATATATATATATATATATATATATATATATATATATATATATATATGTATATATATATGTATATATATATGTATATATATATATATATATATATATATATATATATATATATATATATATATATATATATATATATATATATATATATATATATATGCATACATACATACATATACATACTTATATATACACATACATATATACATATACATGTACATATGCATACACACGTGTTATGTTATGTGTGCGTACACAAATACACACAGAAAAAACAGAACAAGTATTCAAGTATTACGTGACATCTCCACAACAGCTGCTATTCCGGACTCGGCAGAAATGCAACATATGCAACAAAATATACAACATATACAACATATACATATACAACAAAATGCAACATCCAACGCAATCCTCGAAGGGGTTGCACGGTCGAGGGGGAAGGACGTAATAAAAATTGTTCATATTGTTCATTATTCAGATTACTGTTGTTGTCATCACTGTCATCATCATATTTTTATTACCATCATCATCAATAATATCATCAGTAGTGGTATTGCTAGTATCGGGACCCGTAGACATACCTTGAAACTAACCAAAATTAAGTTTCTTTTTTTTTTCTTTTTTTTTTCTTTCATCTTCCTCTTTCTACCACTCGCCTCCTTTCTCCCTTTTCCTTCTCCTTCTCTATCTCTGTTTCTATATCTCTATCTCTATCTCTATCTCCCTCTCCCTCTCCCTCTCCCTCTCCCTCTCCCTCTCCCTCTCCCTCTCCCTCTCCCTCCCTCTCCCTCCCTCTCCCCCTCCATTTACCTTTCCCTTGCCACTCCCTCCCTCTCCCTCCCTCTCCCTCCCTCTCCCCCTCCATTTACCTTTCCCTTGCCACTCCCTCTCCCTCCCTCTCCCTCTCCCTCCCTCTCCCCCTCCATTTCCCTTTCCCTTGCCACTCCTTCTCCCTCTCCCTCCCTCTCCCCCTCCATTTCCCTTTCCCTTGCCACTCCCTCTCCCTCTCCCTCTCCCTCTCCCTCTCCCTCTCCCTCTCCCTCTCCCTCCCTCTCCCTCCCTCTCCCCCTCCATTTACCTTTCCCTTGCCACTCCCTCCCTCTCCCTCCCTCTCCCTCCCTCTCCCCCTCCATTTACCTTTCCCTTGCCACTCCCTCTCCCTCCCTCTCCCTCTCCCTCCCTCTCCCCCTCCATTTCCCTTTCCCTTGCCACTCCTTCTCCCTCTCCCTCCCTCTCCCCCTCCATTTCCCTTTCCCTTGCCACTCCCTCTCCCTCTCCCTCTCCCTCTCCCTCCCTCTCCCTCCCTCTCCCCCTCCATTTACCTTTCCCTTGCCACTCCCTCTCCCTCCTTCTCCCTCCCTCTCCCCCTCCATTTCCCTTTCCCTTGCCACTCCTTCTCCCTCTCCCTCCCTCTCCCTCCCTCTCCCCCTCCATTTACCTTTCCCTTGCCACTCCTTCTCCCTCTCCCTCCCTCCTTCCCTACATCTGCTCCCTCCTACTTGCCTCCTCATCTTCCTTAACCTCTCCCATCTCCTCCTTCGCTCCCTTATCCCCTTCCCCTCCTTTCCCCTTCGTAATTATTATGATTGGTAATATTATTGTTATTATCATTAGTGGTATTTCCATCCTTATTATTATTGTTGTTGTTATTATCTTTATTATTTTTAAAGTTTTGATTATTATTATTATTATTATTATTATTGTTATTGTTATTATTATTATTATTATTATTATTATTATTATTATTGTTAATTTTATTATGTTGATATTATGTTATTATTATAATCATTACTGATGTTTTCATCATCATTATTATTGTTGTTTTTATTCTTATCATTACTTTCATCATTATCATTGTTATTATTATTGCTGTTGTTATTACCACTATCATTACCGCTGTTATAAATATTATTGTCATTATCATCATTTTCATTTGTTGTATTGTCATTAGTATTTTTACCATTTTTATTATCATTATTTTAGATTTTAATTGTTTTTATTATCACATTTGTTGTTGTTATTATCATCTTCATTATCATTACATTATCATTATCATTTTCATTATTATCATCATTATTTTTATTATTATCAACAATACTAAGATTTTCCTCACCTGTGTCATTATTACTATTATTATTATTGTATTCATCATTAATTGATATTATTACAATGATCAATGATGTTTGTTCTCTTTGTTATTTCTCATTAAAATTATAATAAGAAATTGGTTTTAATAATAATAATGAGTAGAAAGGTGAAATAAGACGAAAACAGTGATCAGTTAATATTTATTAACTAGATAACAATTGTATGGCGATGAAAATTGATATAAAATGGTGATGCAAGAATGAATAGGATACATTATTGAAACGTCTAACTAATAAAATGCCGAACAACAATAAAAAACAGTTAAAAAAAGAAGAAAATTAACACGTTAGCCTATAACAGTAATAAATATTAGATTTCCATTTTTGAAAATGTGCCGAATCACGGGGGGTTTTGGGACAAAGCGCACATGCATACGGGTGTGTGTGTGTGTTTGTGTGTGTGTTTGTGTTGTGTGTGTGTGTGTGTGTGTGTGTGTGTGTGTGTGTGTGTGTGTGTGTGTGTGTGTGTGTGTGTGTGTGTGTGTGTGTGTGTGTGTGTGTGTGTGTGTGTGTGTGTTTGTTTGTTTGTGGGTGTGTTTGTTTGTTTGTTTGTTTGCGTGTGTGTGTGTGTGTGTGTGTGTGTGTGTGTGTGTGTGTGTGTGTGTGTGTGTGTGTGTGTGTGTGTGTGTGTGTGTGTGCGTGTGTGTGTGTATAAGTGTGTCATTCATTCATTCAAAGGTTCATATATCCATCTGAACAAATTTCCTATTGATAAATATAGAAAAAAAGGTATGAATGAGAATGAATAACTTTATAGCGAATAACTTCACAGAGATGTTTTGAACTCTAATATCTTTTGTTCTAAAGGTATCCATTCTCATTCATCCACTTAGCAATTAATAATTATCCTGTACAAAAGAAAAACGAATTTTAATGCCACTACATCAGGATTTCTGATATATCACAATAATCTTCACTAAAATTGAGACTGATATAGCATTTAAAATCTACTACTAATTATTGTTCAAAAAGATAAAATGTTTCTATGCCATCAAAAAATTAGAATTAATTCGAAACATTACATCGTATTTAATAACATCAAAATATCTAAGAACCTATTGTTTTTAGACACACATACAAAACAAAGTTTTCTTCATCAAATTAAAAAAAAGGTTTCTTCATCAAATTAAAAGTTTTCTTCATCAAATTTAAAAAAAAAGTTTTTTCATCAAATTCGTACTGATCAGCATATATACATTTGATCATTCAGAACCATTGCATTCTCAAAATCCGTCTTTTGAAATTTCTTACATTATGTAATCTTTTTCTTTTTTTTAATCTAAACAAATGCAGTGACAGTATTGTATAATTTCACGACTGATTTTAGAAAAAAAATGGACGGAATCAACACAGTTATAAGTTAAGGAATAAATATTTGTACAAAAATTATCGGCCGGGAATGCAGGAGGCTCCTTATACATATATATATACATGCATATATATATATATATATATATATATATATATATATATATATATATATATATATATATATATATATATATATATATATATATATATATATATATGTGTGTGTATATATATATTTATGTATGTATGTATGTATATGAATTTCAGCCGATTAATTCTGTTCATTGCAATCGCTGAGCGCTCCTCCCAGCCCCCAGCCTCCCACGCTCTCCCGGCCCCCGCTAACCTCCCCCTCTCGCTCTCCTCCCACCCTAGTCCTCCTTGTGGAACTTGTAAGGGAAGTCCTCCTCGGCCATCTTGAGGGGGGCGTCTTGGCTCGTCCTTGGGCTCCCGACGTCCTCCTCGGCCTCGGCACCCGCATACAGGTATCCGAGGTTGTGCCTGCTGTAACCGCCCTGGGGCCTCTCCTGCTCCTGGTGGTGGCTGCCCGCGTCGCCCTGCCCTGCCTGCTGAGCCTCGTCGGTCAGGCTGAAGCGGTAGGGGTGTCCCTCGGCGCCCGTGCTGGGGTCGTACTCCCCCTCGGCTTCCTGCGTCGCGTAGCTCTGCGTGAACAGCTCCTGGCCCTGCTCGTAGCTGGGCTGAGGGGCGTACTGATACTGCTGGCGCTCCTGCTGGTGCTCCCCACCATACGTCTGCTGCTGGCGACGGCGGAAGGTCTGCTGGGGCGCGTGGGGAGCAGGGCCCCGGCGCCGCTCGAAGTGTCCCTGGGCGAGGTCGCTCAGGATGCGCATGGACTCGTCGCCGATGCGGTTGATC